ATATATATATATGAAAATCGGTTTTTCTTGTCTTTTTCCTTGTTTGGGCTTGGGACCTCAACAACAATTTGTGTGATCTGTCCCCGTCACGGACGAGACATTTACGTTTGTTGTCACTTGCACTACTGGCATTGCAATGAGCGGGCAAGAGACTTGCTGTTCCTACTGTAATTTGTATATTCTGGGGTTTTTGGTAGGATGGTTTTTGTTATTTTTAAAATATTTTTTATTTAAAAATATATTTTAATAATTTTTTAATATTAACCCATTTAAAAATATTAAAAAAATATTAATTTGAAGTAAATAAAAAAATAAAAAATTTATATATATTTTTTGAAAACTTTTAAAATGTAAAAATAACCTTCGCGCGTGAAAGCTCTCGTTTTTAACGCAGGCTGTGTAGCCAGCTGTCACATTTTCATCATAAGGTCATCGAAGAACGTTCCCACATGTGTGGAACATGAATGCCCAGCCTGTGGGCTTGTCTCCCATTTCAACTCAACTGTTGGATTCTTGCCTCTCGCGGCTATTAATCAGCCTTGCATGCAGAATCTGCGGCTGCTCCCACTTTTCTTTCTTTCTTTCTTTCCGGCGACAGGGCGATCCCACGTTTATGATTGGGCTATTTTTAGACTTCCTCGCTTAGCCAATGTCTCTCGGGCTCCTTCAATTTTTAAAATTTACTTGTGATTACGTAATTTCTCTTTCGGTGTATTATTTTTTAATTTTACCTCCATTCTCCCTTTTCACATGCTTAGAGAATTAACAAAAAATATTAAATTATTTACAGAATTGTTATTATATTTTAGTTAACAATTAAAGAGTTATTATATTAAATATTATATTTTTGCCATCAAATTAAAAAAGCAAACCCTTGCCAGCATCCTCTTCCCCTCCTAATCTGGCAAGCCAAACTCAAACCTCTACACAACTTAGAATTTACCAATGAAGATGAAGAACTTACAGCGAAGCTGTGGCGAGCAGAGACAAAGATGAAATAAACTCAGTGAAAAAAACTCTCATCGAAGGAATCTAGCCATAACATTTATTTTATTTTATTTTCCTTTTCAAGAAAACGCGCGGTCTCGTTCTCTACCCCGTGAAGCAACGTCCACAGGCTTTTATCATTGAACTTTTCAGCAACCTAACGATCATCATCTAGTGTTAAGAAATATTAGAATATACTGATAGTGCTCAGTTAATTAATCTGTTGGAAATTTCATAATGTTCATCCATGCTGATTATAGAAGCTGACATATAGATATAGACCCAGAATGTGGTTTGTACGCGCCAACACTATCACCTTTTGTTCTAGCTGCTTCGATCCAGATCTAGCCTCTCTGATTTAGTTGTTCTTAGAATTATTCGCGATGTATGTTTTGGCTTTTGGTCAGTGAATGTTCATGTTCATGTGTTTTGTCCTCAGTTATTTTCAATGCGTGAATATTTTTTTAGGTTAGATTAAATTTCTTTACATTAATTGAGTTATTTGTAATATGTGAATGATATTTCTTTATGCATGGACATATTTGTGGGATTATATATTTTGATACTTGAGCTTCGTTGTGTAATATTGATCGGTCATTCTGAACTTGAGAAAGGTATACTTCTTAAAAGGGTTTGATGAATTAAATTCTATCATCCAAAGTAGTGATTTTTTTGTCAAGAAACAAAATTGTAAATAAAATTTTATTTTCATCAGGATATAATTTTTAGAAGGATTATGTGTTGTTTTAGAATTAAAACAACAATAACACCTAAGAGAGAGTAAATTAGATGGTCTATTAATAATAATAAATATCATAATTAATTCAATCAAATATAATTAACCAAAATATAATTAAAGTACTTGAATTAGAGTATATGAATAAAAATTACAAACTCGGTTTTTAACGTGATTTGGCAAGTCTATATCCATACTTCAAATACCAAACCAGTTTTGAGTATTGTATTCTTTACTAGCCAAAGTCAAATATTACAATGTCTTTAATGAATTGTCACCAAACTTTTTTTTCACCACTTGAAAAAATACATTCTTCAAGGTTTTTTACTTAATGATATACCTTATCAATGACTAAGAGTTTTTTGCTTAAATTCTTCAAGGTTATTACGACTCATTTTAGGGCCCCACATAAACAAAAAAAACAAAAAGAAAAGAAAAGAGAAAAAAAGTATTAGAAAAAATAAAAAAATATATCAATGAGAAGAGTATACTAGAATGCCAAAGAAATTGTTAAAAACTGGTTGAGAAAGATCAAATATACAAGGTTAGAAAAACATCTGACAATGTATTTTTGACTGATTAAAACCCTATTAATAAAGAAAATTCAATTTGAGAAGGAAAATTCAAAATTGGATGTTTAAGGACCTAATTAGAATCTTTCAAGGTTTATTTGAATTTATTGAGGGCTTAATTGCATGAAAATTTGATTTTTAAAAGTTAATTTAGGCTTTAATTGGAAGATATTAAAGTTTAGGGGTTGAATTGTAATTTTTAAGAGTTAATTTGGTCAAATCAGGAGCTTAATTGCATAAATATTAAAGTTCAATGACAATTAGGGACTTCATTAAATAAATGTAAAACCAAGGATCAAATTGAAAAAGACACGTAAATATATAGCTGAAATTGACCAAATCAGGACTAAATTAAAGAAATTAAAAGTTTGTTTGTTAGTTAAGGATCAAATGCACAAATTCAAAACCAATGACTAAAATAAAAAAGACAATCAACTAAAAAACTAATATTTGAGTCTGACAAAGGTTAAGTTTTTTATGTCAATTAAGAATGAACGTGACACAATTAGAAGAATAAGGATTAAATTAAAACTTCGTCAAATCCAAAATTAAAAACCTTACTTTAAAGGGTTCACTCTAGACAACATGTCGTTCAGCCTTTGTTTATTTTCTTCCTTAGCAGTTCACGATGGTCAAATTGACATTTTCTAAAAGCTTGTTATGGAGTTCTAGATCTTCAACTAACATGAAATTTTTTTCAAATGGAAGAGAAACATCCATTTTACAACCCTATTTCCATGAAATTAGATATTTATATCACAATTTTTTCATAAAAATCTCTGATATCTTGTCTCTGTTTAGTCATCACTTGATTTTCAGATTTGAGACTAATTAGGTTGGCATCTTTAAACAAATGAATGTGGAGTTGCATAGCTTCAAATTGAGTAAAAATATATCCAAATAAAAGGCATGAATCTCTTTTGTCAAATTCAGATAGTTTTAAGTAATGATGATGTTAGAATTGCTTTGACGAAGTTTCGAAAGTGGACAACTCAATCAACCTTAACAATGCAACTATCTTACAAAAAAGAATTTGATTTTCATGTGTTCACATAGAAAGGACTTCTCAATAGGTCCTTATTAAGGATTTATGATACTCCTCTAAGGATCAATAAAGAGAAATTTTATTTCATATTGAAAGAGTAAGGGGTTTTGTTGTGCCTTGTAATGTGAGGGAAGCATAAATGATTATTTTTTTTAAATAAACTAATTTGAGTTAATTAATTCAAATTTTAAAATTAATTAATCTAATAATTATACATAACATCTTTTTAATTTGAATAAAAAGCTGTCTTTTAAACTCTATAAACATATTAGTATAAAGATGTATATCTTTAAACTCTATAAACATATTTGTTTGAAGAGTTATTTTCTTTTTATATATAAATTAGTATGAAAGAGTATGTTTTTAAACTCTACAGGCATATTGGTTTAAAAGAGTGTTATTTTATTTATAAATATCAATTTGATGATTGTCAGAAATTAATTAGAAATAATTTTCTTCTCTTCCTAATTTTTTTCTATAAACTCTTTATTTACACTTATAAAAAACAAAATAGAACTTCTTAATAAAATTATTGAAGTTATTATATATAAATTTAACACTTTGTTGTATCTTAAAAGTATATTATTTTAACCCTCTATCAAATATAATGAAAATAATTAATACCTTAGAGATAATATTTTTTATGCTTCAAACCCTAGTTGCTATACTCACTAATATTATAGTTTGTTGATAATATCCAATGTGACATGTTTCATATTGCAGCTCATGTAGGCTTTTAATTGTTCTCAATATCCATTTTTTTAAAAGATAATCATCCTCTATGTTACTGGATGAGTCTTTTTTGTGTTGCTACATTTGACTTCGACAATCTGATTTTATAAATAAAAGAGATAGAAATAATAAAAATAAAATGAACCTGTTTTTTTGTTTTTTCTGTCATGAAATGATAAAGATTTCCTTTAAAATTTTCAGTAAAGACAAATTTAATTTATAGTTGTCTTCATTCTTCTAACAAAATAAATTTATGCTATTTTTTTAATATTTTTTTATCCTGTGACATTAACAAAATATAATATTAAAGATTAATATTATTTATTATGAATTATTTTTTTAAATAATTTCAATCACGAGACGAAAATGTTAATAGGATTTACTAAGTTGGATTTGCCTAATCATTAACATTATTGGCATGGATGGATATCACCGGGTGAATAGTATTATTTCTTGTTTTCTAGAAGGTATTTAAGAGTATAGTAGGTATTATTTTTTATTTAAAAATATATTAAAATAATATATATTTTTTTATTTTTTAAAATTAGTACATTAAAATAATTTAAAAATACTAAAAAATTAATGAAAAATAAAAAGATAAAATTTAATAAAAAATAAGTCACACCGCACCAGAAATAGGTTCACGTGTCCTCATTTATGATTTATCTACGCAAAACATAATAACCACCTTGTGTTATTTTTATTCTTACTATCATATAGTAACATCGAGCGGAACGGACTGACCGCGTAACTTTTCAGACAATTGTATGAACGGTCAGTAACCATTTACCACAAATGGAGGTCACGTGATTGGGCCCCTTAAGAACACACTAACATCTCGTGTGTAGTCTAACTCGGCCAACTTTCGGCACGTGCTACTCGTGTCTCCCGCACCCCCTTTCGAGCTTAACTACACACGCCCCAACCGTGTCAAACCAAAACACACACACACACACACACACACAAAACACGCTCGAGCCTCTCCACACGCGCGAAACCCAAACCCTCGCACGCAAACACACATCTCCACACGCGCCGCCTTACTCTCCATTTCACATTCACCGTCCGCTACGTCCACTCGCCGGGAAAACCTCGAATTTCTCTCTTTCTTGCGGAAATCTGTTTTAATTAGGCTTTGGAGAGTGACCGTGAAACGCACCGGAGGTTCTCCGGTGGTCGGCGAAGTTAGGGTTTCAAGAGAGTAGATGGATCTGTTGTTATGAAGCAGATACAAGGTGAGAAGGTTTGTGAATTTGCTGGCGTGAAAGCTGGAAAAGTAAAATTTGAGTTGGAAATGGAGAAATAGAGGGGAATTTGAAGTGTTAGCACGCAAAAGGTGAAGTTTATGCGGGATTTTTACGCTGAAATGTGCGGAAGACTGTTACAAGAAGGTGATTGTTGAGTTTATTTGTAGTTAAAAACCGCTAATTTTTTATTGAAGTTCTGCTGTTGATTTATAGTGAGACAATTGGTCTGTACTTGTTTGGTTGCCGAGAAAGAAATTAATTTTTTGATTATTCTGTTTTTTATTTCTATTTTTCCCTTGACTCGAAGAAACAAAAACAGTCGTCAAAAAAAAAAAAACATATATTGAAGAACAGAAATGAGAAAACTGACATGTTTATGCCAAATATAGCGTTAAGGATAATGTAGCGGAGGCATTTGTCTTCTTGACTTGTATGCAGTTGAAAACATTATAAAGTTTCAAATAAAGGCTTAAATTGTAAAAGAGAACATTCTTTTTCCTTCTTTGTCTATTATTGATTGAGTAGATTTGGGTCATAACTCTTTAAGTTTTTCATTGTTGCCAGGGAAGTCGAAAATGAGACTAGCACATGTTTTTTTTTTAGTTTACTATCTTCATTATTTGAAAAACGGTAGCTTTTCAGATATATGGATACTCAAAGTGGAAATGATGGCCTGTCACCGTAGAAGTATTCAATGACTAAGTCCTAGACATTTGGTTGTGGAAGAGAGAGAATGGCAACGGATATCCAGAAATTAATGGGAACAAGTGAAGAAGATGATGATGAAGAAATGGACATGGACGTTAAAGAGGAAGATGATGAAGATGAAGAAAATGGAGGGAAGAATATTGCTGCACAGATTATTGCAGGAGGGGGTGGAGGGATGGCATCAAACAATAGTGATAATCAGTTTCAACATCAACAGCAATTTCAAGAGCAGGTTACCACTCCAGCAGGAGGAGCTCGGAGGTCTAGACCGCTTGAAGAAAAGGAGAGGACGAAGCTAAGAGAGCGACACCGGAGGGCAATCACAGCAAGGATCTTGGCTGGATTAAGGAGGCATGGGAATTACAATCTTAGAGTTAGAGCTGATATAAATGATGTAATTGCAGCTTTGGCTAGGGAAGCTGGCTGGGTTGTTCTTCCAGATGGAACTACCTTCCCTTCAAGATCTCAGGTGCTTATCTCTCAAGTATGAAGCCTTTGTTTGATTTGTTATTTAGATGTTAGTGATAACTGATGAGAATGCGCATTAAATTGTTATTACCCATGGGTTTGAAGAGGTTGGGTTGATCATAGTCCCTACTTTTCATTCCTTGATTCTTGCTTCAAATGGATCTTAGTAAAATCTAGAGGGAATGGCTATATGCTTTACTTTTTTGCTGCAGGGCTCAAGGCCTGCGGGTGGCACTTCTGCTGCAGTAACATCATCTTCTTCTCATCTGGTGTCACAACAGACTCCACCGGCTTCCCTTAGAGGAGTCTCTCCTGGTTATCAGACCTCAGTTGAGTACAATACATGCCGTATGAAAGGTGTTTTTATGCCCAACCCCTCACCTTATGATCTATCAGCAAGCACTCAGCCACAGATCCCAGCAGTGGTGGGGGAGGGAGGAGAGCAAACAGAGAGCAGTCTCCATATTGGTGGCTCCATGGACATCATAAATGACAAGCAGGTACTATGGAATTCTTTTGTACTCTATTTGTGCTGAAATATCCATCACTGGATATTCTAGTAAATGTTGTTTTTAAGTTGAATGTTTGTAACCTCCTAGTGAACTTTGAACGCTGAAAAAATTTGTGCTGCTGCTTTTTTTTTTTACTCTACTATATCTTGCACATCACACGTTAGACATAACTAAATTAACCAACCTTTTGATTAGCAGTGGAGTACAATTTTGTACATGTGTAGAACTTGTTTTCAGTCAAGGAATCGAGAGTACAAGTTAATTTTCTTACAAAACTTGGTTCTTTTAGACGAGTTTAATTTCATGCATTTTTCAACTCTCTACTCTCTTTTTTCATAGATTATTGACATACCTCCAATTCCAAAGCTACCAGAGCGGGATTTTGCTGGCACTTCATTCATACCAGTTTATGTGATGTTACCAGTGAGTTAATCAATCCTACTTTTCAAACAGTTAATTTTGGAGATGGGTGCTATCCTATTTTTATTTCCGCTCAGAGTTCAGACTTTTTGTGAAAGATACAATATTTTCGTTGATATGTTGTTCTCAATCTAACCTTGATGCCAAATGTGAGATCTATGCAGTTCTAATCATATTCTTTTTTGTGTGCCATAATTTGTTGGTGTTAGTTGGGTGTCATAAATATGAAATGTGAGCTGGTTGATCCAGATGACCTACTGAAGCAGCTCAAGGTCTTGAAATCTGCCAATGTTGATGGCATTATGGTGGACTGCTGGTGGGGCATAGTAGAGGCTCACACCCCTCAGGAGTATAACTGGAGTGGGTATGGTAGGCTCTTCCAGATGGTGCGTGAACTTAAGCTTAAGTTACAGGTGAGTGCCTTTTGAAACTTGTTATCCTGTATCGTAGCTCATGCCCTCCCTCATTCTGGACATAAAATTAATGCTAATCGTTGGTTTTTCTTAGCAACCTCCCTTTCTATGGTACACCACTTCATAGATTGTTTATGAATGCATCCATACATGTGGATGTTGGTGAGGTTGATACAATGCCCTGGATTCTGCAATATTATGAAATCATATATTTTTCAAGTGTGTGGGAAACTGAGCAAGTTGTTGCTGTTGATCATACTATCAATGATATGAGCTTGTGTGACTAAGCATGTTGATGGATCATAGCTGGGAGATTATTCACAGATCAAATTTAAGGACCTTACTATGATGATTTTGATAGGAGCCAATTTCATTAAATGGCAAACAATATCTTTGGGCTAATGAATGGGCGATGGTTGGGGAACTTGGATGCACAAGACTGAAGTTTTTGAAACTGTCATGAAGCCAGGCACTAATGAAGGTGTGGTCAAGTACACATCCATGTGTTTCAGTGGCTTCCTGTCTATGAAGGGAGATGGTTGATCATTTAGGTTTGAGATTGCAAATCCCCACAGCTTGGGTGCTGATATTGGCTGTGGAGTATTTCATTCTCTTTATTATTGTTCTCTATTTTTTTTTAATGTTATGATAAAACAATAATTCCGAGGACAGCCAAATTTATTAACAGGTTATATTTAACTCTTACAATTCTAAGAAGTATTGAAATGTTTGTTACGAGTGTATCTCCATCTAAACATATCATAGCAACTCATTGCTGATTGTGCTGTAGTAGCTTGTCTCAACACTCTTGAAGATTCCTTCTGGATGAGGTCAACTTGTTTTACTGATTTTTTACCTCAGGTTGTGATGTCATTTCATGAATGTGGAGGCAATGTTGGTGATGATGTATGTATTCCCCTGCCACACTGGGTGGCAGAAATTGGACGAAGTAATCCTGACATTTTCTTCACTGATAGAGAAGGCAGGCGCAACCCAGAATGTCTTTCATGGGGAATTGACAAAGAACGAGTGTTAAGAGGCCGTACTGCTGTTGAGGTACATCCTCGTGAATATGCTAAATTTTCTTTGCAAGTATCCATGTGAATATCTGCTTCTGTGATAATCATTAAATTTTCTTAGACACTTGCATAAGCTAAATACAAGGATATATTATTCCATTTAATTATATTTTTGAAGTTGCTGTTTTGGTTATGGCTAGCATTTTGAATGTATATGATGCTGAATTCAAAACTGGATTTTATGTGTGTTCCTAATTGCAATGATCAGAACATAGGTGATTTGATCTGTTGCTTTCATGTAATTTGGAAATTTGAGCCGGATTATTTTTTGAGGCTAGTAAATTTGGTGTTTTATCTCTATGGTTAACTAATGTAGGTGTACTTTGACTACATGAGAAGCTTCCGAGCAGAATTTGATGAATTTTTTGCTGATGGTATCATCTCTATGGTTGAAGTTGGACTTGGTCCTTGTGGGGAGCTACGGTACCCATCTTGTCCAGTGAAGCATGGCTGGAGATATCCTGGCATTGGTGAATTTCAGGTAATCTTTTAGCTTTGTAATTAGCGATCTTCTTTCTTACTGATGTAAGCTTTCATCATCCATATTTGCTTGCTACAACTTTACAAGTTACTTTGATCTTTGAGGTTTGCAACACACAAAATCCATACATGCAAACTTGCTGATGGCTTCCAACATTTGCACTCACAATGCTTCTGGCCTTCAGAGTTGCTGCTGAGGCAGCATGCTCCAGCCACTTGTTTTGCCAACACCATGCAGCCTCTCTTCTTTTCTCTTCTTCAAAATGCAAAAACTGAAAATAGAAGTCAATTTACGAAGTCTTTTCAGAGTTAACTTGGACTCAAGTTGATTTTCTGATTTGTATGCCCATTTTGTCGAGGTACTTCAGAGAAGTGGAGTTGGACTTGAATGTTAAGCAGAGTTTATAGATTTTAAGAAACCAGTTAGCTTAAAAATATACTTTGCAATATGACTTGTTCTCAATTTTTCATTTTGTAACTAGTAATGAGAAAACAATAAGTACCATTAGGTAAATTGGTTGCTCCACATTATGTGAATTGATTGCTTGATTCTTTCATCTATTTTCTCAACTTGTCATGTCAATTTATCTTTTAGTATCTCAGCATGGTTAAGAAAAAGGCCCTTATTTGCAGTGTTATGATCAGTATTTGCTGAAAAGCTTAAAGAAGACAGCAGAAGCAAGGAGACATCCTTTCTGGGCTAGGGGACCAGATAATGCTGGTTTCTACAATTCCCAGCCACATGAAACTGGTTTCTTCTGTGATGGAGGGGACTATGATGGGTATTATGGCAGGTTCTTCCTTAATTGGTATACTAGGATCTTAGTTGATCATGGTGATCGGGTACTTTCTTTGGCAAAGTTAGCTTTCGAAGGCACTCAAATTGCTGTGAAGGTGTGTCAGCTTTTCAGAAATTTCTTCTAATTTTGAGGCTTGTTTATCTAAGATTGCTATCTAGAATTGTTTCTGTCTTTCTCTGTTTAACTGCTTTGGTCGTAATTTTAGTTCATGCTCACTTCAAAATGCATTTTGAATTTGAAAACTACGTCTAAAAGTTATTTAAATAGTTATGCTTGATCCACTCTGTTTGCTACATTTTAATTGGCGAGCAGCTATCAGGTATTCATTGGTGGTACAAGACAGCCAGTCATGCTGCTGAATTAACTGCTGGGTTCTACAACCCATGCAATCGTGATGGCTATGCTGCAATTTCAGCAATGCTAAAGAAGCATAAAGCTGCATTAAACTTCTCGTGTTCTGAATTGCGGATGGTAGACCAGCAAGTGGACTTTGCAGAGGCACTTGCAGATCCTGAGGGATTAGTATGGCAAGTAAGAAAGCTACTGCTCAGCTTCAACATCTCCTAAATTGAGCCTTTCATTTTAGAAAAATAGGTTGTCTTTATAAAAGCCTTTTCTTTTGGCCTATTTAAAAATTTTGGAAGAACATAATGCTATATCTTGCTTCAGATACGCTGGTTTGAAAGTGTGTCTATGAGCATTCTAACTGTCTATTTCAGGTGCTGAATGCTGCTTGGGAAGTTGGCATTCCAATTGCTAGCGAGAACGCTCTTCCATGCCATGATAGGGTCACATATAATAAGATTCTGGATAAAGCCAAACCATCGAATGATCCAGATGGAAGGCATTTTTTGTCTTTTACTCACCTCAGGCTCAGCCCACTTCTAATGGAGAGACAAACCTTCATGGAATTTGAACGCTTTGTCAAGAGAATGCATGGTAAAGTACTAGAGCAACATGCAATTATTTTTTAAATTTTGAGTCTTTTTAATGCTATTAATTTTTTCCCAATGACTCATGCTGTCTTCACAATGCTGTAAATTTTAATCCAATTACCCGTGCTAATAAAAAAGAATGAACCCGTTTACCTATTGTGAGCATCTATTTGGTGGGCAGGAAGCTAATAACTGAGGGAAGGGGGTGAAAATAGAGGGTGACTGATTTCTTTATCTAAAGGTTCTGGATGCTTCAATGCTTGCCAGAATCCGAGGAATAACAAATTTGGTGCTACCAGCATGAGTTTCACTGATTTAGGTAATTTGCACCAGTTTTCTGTTTCATAAACCGGGAGATGACTTCAAAAGGTTCCGCCACCAGTGCCCTGTGTGAAGAACAGACAAGTCATAGCCTGCTCTCATTTTCTGGCTAGTAGAACAAAAAAAAAAAAAAAAAAAGGAAAAAAAAGAGGGCTTTATTTTCAGGCACAGCGTTCAAGCTGAATCTGTTAGACGTTGATAAATAACCAGCCCTTCAAGTTACTTGAGGTTTATCTAGTCACATAAAATTCAAAATGAATGTGGCAGGGGGCCATTTGGTTAGCTCGCTGTTGATGATATTTAGCACTGATGGATGCATTTTCAGTCGCGATTCAATCTGAATGTGTTCGATTTCCATTGCAGGGGAGGCAGTTGTCGAACTCAAGGTATAGCAGGAGGAGGAAGGGCATCCAGATTTGAGTAGCATTTGTTTTTCTCCCACATAACAGATGGGGGTTTACCGTAATGTACATCAGTGGAGTAGTAGTTTTTATATGATAACTAGGGAATAGTATCGAAATAGTTCTAACACCTCTGTAAATGAAATCTCAAACTCAAAACAGTCAGGTTCTCCGCTACCGCTAGATTCGAGCTTCCTTTTATGCTTGTGTTGGAAACTTTCTGGATGGACAAAACTGAAACTTCTGGTGTGCAGTTCAGAAGCTTGAAATTATTAATTCATTAGCTGTACATCTCTTTCCTTCTCATTTTCAATCGCATCTTCAATCGCCTTTGTAAGTTTCCCCTCAAGATCCTTCTAGCCAGCTACTTCCAGACCGTCACCTTTGCTGAAGGCCAGGTATCTTTGTAATCTCTAGACGTGCTCGCACAATAGGCTGCCGACAAGTTTCTGTTTACTATGATCTCGCCACGCCTGAAGGTGGGCAACATATTCTTTCCTTGTATATTTTATTACCCGTGGTTTAAGCAGACAATCCCATAGGCCATCAAAATACAATCGAATGAGGAATTGAACCTATTTGGCTGACAAATGAAAGAAAGAAATTTGAAGGTAAATTACAAAGAAGAAGAAAGGATAGTCTAGGTGGAAGACTTCTTGAACACCATTCGACCAGATTCATCCACATCAAAAAGACGCTCTATAAAGTTGTCCCATCGCTCCCTCATTCTCTTAAACGACATCAGCGAACCTGATCCACCTGAGCTGCCAGAACTCTCCCCTTCTTCCACTTCAGCAAAGGTTCCGTAAGAAGGAGAGTAGGATGACTGTGGGATGTCCAGAGCAATAGCTTTCCGAAGTGCTGCCTCGTATTCTTCACTGTGCTCACGTGCAAGAGACTCCTGCCGCTGCATCCGTTGTTGTGCTGGAATTTCCATGATCCGATCTTTCTCCAGCATCAACTGACAGGGAAAACGGTGTTTCAGTTTTGTCAGCAAATGTAGAAGTTAATTCTCAATCCCCGATCATCTAATATAACAAAGTACACAAGAACCACATGACTGACTGTCACTGCCTTTATAATACATAAAAAATGGAGCCACAAGATCCACTTGACTGGCACAGCCTTTATCATAAACAATGGAGCTATAGATATGGCAGGTCTCGGGGATTTCATGAGAAACTTGCCACGGATTGGCCTCTACAAACATTCCAGATGCTGCTATTTTTTGCACTACAGAAGTTGTGAAAAAAGCTGACTAATTTCCCTAGGCTGGACAAACCAAGGTTTTTTTTCTTAAAAATTAAAATGGCTCTACAAGTTTGGTTCATGACTCAAACTAGACCAGTAATGAAAGTAGTCTCAATCCTAGCCCCAACTCACACTATACTTGCCAAGGAAGAAGTTAGGCTTACATCAACAGCCCTTTGAGATTCCCTCTCTAACCAGATAATGGTGTGATCAGAAGTCGCGTTGCATGAAAGAACTATGTGCTCGAAGCGCCTGTCCACAGGGACTGCTGTTCTGACAACTGGAGGAAATCTTCCTATCCTGAAACCAGAGTGTAAAGGTACTGTCATTACAATAAGATAATAGCCAACAATCTAAAACACAGAAATTCTCATAAATAAAGCTCCAGAAATCAAAATTGAGTGGCAACCAGCACATCATGGTGACAACTGACCACTCTTTTGCTCATAAAGTATTCAATGCTAATAATCAGTCACTCTTTGAGCTGCTGTTCCTAGCACATGCATGAAATGCTCCCCTGCATGGGGAAAACACTGGCATCTCAAATGGAAGAGTGCATGCACAGCCCTCAATGAATGTTGGTTTCAGGATTCCATTTTTAATCCACTCTGGCTTTGAGGAAGAGCCTATTAAGTCTGTCTTTGATTGCCCATTAGTATTGCAGGTCAAATTGGTAAGCATAACCCATACCATCATCAAGACTCATTATTTCTATTTTAGCTCTTCCCCCGCCGATTACTCTTATTTCCCAGCAGGTGAATCCTTCTTTGTATCCCCGCATTTTCAAGTTCCTTCAGAAAAGGGCATAAAAACACCTGGCCAGCTACTTTGTTAGGTGCATGTAAAATTGCACCAAAATACAGCTGAATTTACCTGAATGGCTTCCTCTCAACAATATGGTATAGGCGGCCAGGTGCATATAGCCGCCTTGGATCCTTAAGCATCTTCTCCTCGAGAGTGCAAGTATCCTTCAAGCACATTAGGCAAAGCAGGCAAGGCAAACTGTCCAAAACACAAAAAAATCAGCTTACTATCTTGTCTAAAATGAACTCCATGAGAATACATGATCGTTGTAACAAAGACTACATGTGCAAGCATAAGAGTCCATAGATGACTATCAGCGGTTTCCTCAACTAGCCCAATGGAAAAACTCTGTTTAAGTTTATTTGCAAAGATGCACTCCTTGTTTGCGAAAAGCATAATGACCAGTTTGATTTTTTCAAAGGTCTCAAATTTCAACATCTTTTCCATTAGAATATATGCCAGGATACTAGATGCCATAAAAGAAAAAAACAATATAAATAGTTATGAAAAAGGTGAGTAAGACATACTATCTTTTACCAGAAAATTGATTTGTAAACATCTTCCAGAGCAGTAGTTGTCCGAGGTAAGAAATCATCCTGGTTCATTCAGTAACTCATATTAGAACAGAGCACATACCACCATTCCTAGGCACAGAGAAGGAGAAATTGACATACTAGAAGTCTAAAGTATGAAGCTCTTTGCTTGTTCCGTCAAATTCAGAGTTTGGCAGCAGGTTAAAATTGTAATAAAAAAGACAGATTAAAATGTTAATCCTTCACGTAATTAGTTTTCAAACCAACAGGGTTCCTGATTCTCATAATAAGCTGATGTTTCAACATGCTTTGGAAGCCACTTTGACCAGGTCTTATTCATTTCAGTAAAACCAGAAAATGCTCCTACCACCATTCTCATCAAGACCACTCATCATCATCATTTTTGTTGGTGTTTCCAATCGACTGATGAATTCAAGATTTAAACTTCACCACAATCCATTTTGACAAAATTTTAAGCACCTTTACTTGATTTCAAATATAACTGGAAGCACAGGGAAGTCCTACCTGAAGCACGACAGAATTGATAACATCAGCATATCTCACTGCCAAATTCAGTGACACGCATCTAGCAGGAGCCATGGCAAAGCATCTGATCCTCTTCCTCTCAATGGTCCCGAATTTATCCCGATTCTGAACAGCATACATTGCTATCAATGACACTATCCCTGCACCTAACGAATGTCCAGCAAAAGTCAACCTATAATCTGGATTCATCTCAACCAAATCCCTCAAAAGCTCACATTCTGCATCAAAAATCCACTTTGCAGCCTTCAAAAGCCCATTATGCACGTAACCACCATCAAACTTGGTCTGCCCCAATTTATTATCAAGTAAAACTGCATAATCACTTTCCTTTGCCAAATTAAGCCCTCTAATAGCCAACACTATATCAAAATTATCATGATCCAGGTAAATCATATAAGGAGTAGCACATCCCCCAGTTTGTTCATAAGTTCTCTTCACAATTACCCAATCAGGGTTAATACCATAGCCACCTGGCGGTGCCCAAAGTGGGTGCCGAAGATCTTCTTCATAGACTGATAGGATTAGGCGACAAAGACGAGGCACGGGCTCAAATTCTTCAGCTGTGGCTAAGCCCCAGTTCTCACTTTCATAACCAGCGGTGTAAAGGCATTTTTGCCATAGCCAACGAGCACAGCCAAGGCAGTACACACATTCAAGAATTGGAAGGCCACAGAGGATTGACATGGAGGCCTATGATTCAAGCATGATAATATATCCATCAAGAAACATGACTCAAGTGAGACCGACACATCAATGAATACAGGGAACTCAAATTTTTAGGAAAAAAACCCAAGTGGATTTAGAAAACAGTCAGATTATACTTCTTATTGAAAAATCAGTAATCAAAACATCAATATGAAGAAAATATACATACAAGACATATCTCAAAAGCTTAGGAATGAAGTTATTCATCTAAAAAAACTGAGACTATGAGCGACCATCATATATACAACAAACAAACTTTAAAAAAAACATGAACCCTTATAAAAAGAACACTAAAAAAGTGTTAAATACAAAGAATTGGTAGGTGTTAGTGTATCATGAGTTGCAAAGAGTTGGGTTCTTTAGAGATGCTACTTTTGATTGGTAGGTTTAGACCACAAATGAAAGGGAAAGAAATAGTAAAACTAAGAAATAAAACACAGCGATGCAGGTGGAGATATGAGAGAGACCAGACATCTTATTGGATGGTTTACCAGCTAGTCAAACCCATTTCCGTGTAGAGTGAGGTGGCCTTGCAAGAATCTACCCTGTTTAATGCTTTTAGATGCGCAGATTTTATTCAAGTTTCTTTCTTTAATCATTGGAGTCTGTCCGTCTAGCTGTTTGACCTAACGACCGCTGCTCTTACAGCATTGACGGTTAGTGAGGTTCAAGTATTGGGGCAAGTCCTAAAGAAGAGGGCCTGATTGATTTTTTTTGAGAGTTTTTATTTAGAAATATATTAAAATATAATTAATTTTTAATATTAAAACATTAAAAGATCTAATAATATTAAAAATAAATTAATATGAAGTAAAAAATAAAATAAAATATTTTTAAATTTGTTCAAAAATGTTTTAAAATATCAAAACAAACATATCTTAGTCTAGCTAAATATATTTATTGTTTTTAAAATTAATTTGTTTTTTTTATTGAAACAGTAAATCATTCATATTCTAACTAAATGTATTTATTGTTTTGATAATCTTCTCTTGTATTTGGCTCCAAGATTGTATTTGAAAAGCAAATGTGAGAGCAACTGTGAAATACCTTGTTAATTATCATCTGAGAATCTATATACTTGTCTAATCCTTATTTATTTACTATATGTTAATATAGAAGGTAAATAACATAAAGAGCAAGTATTTAATATATCTAATTGATGTAACAATTCCAAATTTCTTCTTTTTTACCAAGTGAAAAACTAGGTTAGGAAGAAATAAATTCAGCTTAATTATTGGTTGTTAAAAGTTGAATTTAATCAAGGCTATATTTAGAATATAATAAATAAAGTAAACTCGGAACATTTTTATTAAAATTTAAATGAGAAATCTGGAATAATCTGAAATTTTAAACAATATAAAATTTATTTTATTTTATATTACTTTAAATAATATAAGGTACTGAATATTCTAGCTAGAATGGAATGAAATTAATAAAATTAATTGAAATT